CTGGCCAATTTGATACTGTTTTTGTAGCCACCAAAAGATCTGCTTGGAGATTAACCTCCGTGATACCTTCGATGGCTAATGGTATATCCTCAGGCTAATGGGTACCGCCTTGGATCTGGTTGGAGATTTGTTTTATTAGAGACACAACGTGTCTCGTAATAGAGCTTTTGATTTGCAAAGTGAGCAGAACTGTTCACTAGTCAAGGTTTGGAAAAAGTATGGACATTGGACTCTCACGATAAGTCATCACAGAATGATATGAGATGGCTTGACAGTAAAACATCAGATTCTGCAGTACGAGGTTGTGTTCACTTACATTTGGCAGTGTACATAACCCTGATTAGTCATGAACTTTTCACTTTGACACCCAGACTTTGGAAGGATAATTTTTTGCCAACATTTTGACTTGAGTCCACTGTTCATCAGCAGACTTTCCAAACAAAACGACTGTATTTGTCCCCTGTGTTGGTGGCGGCATTAATATAAGTTGGAAAAAAAACTTGAGTGTGCCGTCACCACGTCTGGTGATTACATGTTGGAATTAAAAAAAAACAAAAAAAAAAAAACAACAAAACGACAAATGTCTTTTGAGCCCTGATGGTACCAAGACATGAAGAGTGCCATCACACTTATAATTGGTCATAAATCTAAAATTACATTCGCTGGAAATATTTTCTCCTGAGGCTTGATATTACTGCTGGCGGTATAACGTTTGAACGACATTCATTTTTATTTGTGGAAGACAACATGTTTATTATTATTATTTTATTTATTATTGAAGTTATATACAGAGTTTGCCACCGGTGTTTAACGATACGCTCAGATACATTTATTTCAAACTGAGCTTTCAATCACTGGTGCTATCAGAGGGAAAATAGTTTCAAATTTGCATTAACTGAAACATCATGTCATCAACAAAGGAGAAAACATTTCTATATGTTATGAACTGAATGTGATACTCCTTACAAACCTGTATAACTCCTAACATTTGTTGACATGGTCTACATTCACTTCTGGTTTCAACTGCGTGCAATTGGCAAATCAGAATTCCATGTCAATATGCAGTACGTTTGTGAACATGTATGTCTGCTTTTAAAACTTATTCTTATGTCATAAGTGAAAACCTAGTGGCTTCCATGAAGCGTTACAGTGAAGCTTCAAACTTCCTAAATGGATGTGGACATAAGAGACCAATCTGTACTTTCCTGCCTTTATTGCTTGGACATTAAAGCCAGTCAAACTACAACATATGTTGTATTGTGTTTTTTAAGGACTAGAGTAGATTCCTTCGGCCAGGTAGGAGCTTTGGTTCCAATTTAGGCCGCTCTTTACTTCCAGTGCACTGACATCTGTCTTAAAGTATCTAGCAGCTTGCAAAGAGATGTATCTCTAGTTATCTTTTGTTACTGTACCAAAAATAAACTCCACAAGTTTGGGTAGCACACAAGAAAAAAAAATGTTGAACAACCATGTTCAGAAGAATAGTTTATTTCAAATATTGAGAACTAGTCTGCATAATCTACAGTATTACAGGTATTCGGTTATCAAGCAAACACAATAAATGTATATTATAATACCTAAACAAATAAAACTTGGATTTGTAACAGAACTTGGATAAAGTTTACACCATCATACAGAAAAAGTTTGAGAATGGCTGGATATTTTTTTAACCAACAAATCATGAAAAAACATTTCAGATCTCGCAAAGAGTTTTCGTCCCGAGTCTTTAATAATAATTTGTCAGAAATGTACAAAATTAATGAAAAACACTGTATCAATATTATGAACTTCGAAGTTTAAATCAATCATCGAAATCGATCATGTTTTCGGACTAAACTTCTTGGAGGGTAAAAATTTCTCTCCTAGCAGGTTGCAAGCTGAAACCTACAACTACAACTTTGAAGCCAGCTTTTAATTTGATCAGACTTCATTTTTGTACATTCTTGTAGTCTACAATCGTTGATAATACTGTACAACCTGCTGAAACATTTGATCATCTGATTTAGATCACCCTTCTATATCAATACCAATGCTGTATTGAAGTACCGAATTGTGCTTTTTTTTCACAAAAGTGCTTTCTGTACATAGGTTTTTCTCCTGTTCGATTCTTTTTAAATTGTAAAAATTGACTCTACCAGAAGCATTTCCTAAGGGTATGGTATATGTGAGTGTATTGTACTTTATTTTCCAATTTTGCCAAATTGTATGTCAGCCAAAAGACCGACCAAAAACATTACTCCAAAATGGCAAATACAAACCCACGAAGTTGCCAATGCTTCTGATATAATTCATTTTGTTTATAGATCTAGAGTAGCAGTACTTGATATTATAATGCAGATAGAGACCCACAAGAAAAGGCAAATTTTCCCTTCTGCATTTTCCAAGTCACAAAAAGGCATCTGACATCTGTGTGAAGCATTCAAAGATCCAAGCTCTGCATCACATATTTCATGTTACATAATGCGACCATTATGTACAATCATAATTGAAATATATAATAACTATATAATATACATATATATTTTCTTATAGCATGATTTGCCATTAGTATAAATCTTGTCGACCCATCACCATAATTGCAATATCATACTGTGTAAATTAAAGATATCGATTATAGAAAATTGATAAGTAATAAAAAAATTACTGTGTAATATCAAGCCTATACAAATATAACATTATCTGTTTCAATAAGTTTAAACAACCGAAGCCATCCCTGTTTTCAATTTTTAAGGAAAGTCTCGGTAATAAGACAACATTAAAGGATGCTGTCCCAACCTATAAAAGAATGGGTCGTCCCAACTTTTAAGTACATGCCAAAAATAAATGGATGCTTGCACTTTATTGCAGGGGTGGCCAGGATGGTTTACACCTATTGATACAGTAAGTATGTTCTAACAAAATCGACATCATTATACAATGAATATATGAAAACTTTATAGCAGTAACTGGCTTTGAGAAATATGCACCAACCAATGGTTCCATGGCTAGTTTTCAAAGTTAAAAAACCCAAAACACAGTTGTATGATCTTGTTAAGTTGAATACTTTTGTATTTAATGACTTTGCTGCTTGAACCATTCTCATTGGCTGTTTTGCAGCAATTTCACTCTGAATAATGTATAAATTACATCAACAAATCAACTCTTTTGTTAGTATAACCATTTATTGAACTGCATATCTATTAAGATATGCACTGAGAAGTATAGTACTAGTAAGTACAATGTCACTGATATGCGATCATTCCTGATTGGTCAAAGAAAGCTTTCGATTGAATCTATTACCATGTAAATATATCCTGTAAAAACTGACAAAAAACTACCCTCATATACAAATGGTATCACCCTTCACTGGAATAGATATAGAGCACACAATTTTAACAAGTCTTCATAATAATGAGAGGACAGCATTGAAAATTTTGTTATCATCTGCTCAAAAACAGTTAAAGATATTTGTGAGCATTGCTAATATGTACATTTCATTTTGTTCTGGCTCTAGAGTTAACTGTTACAGTAGCTACATTGTAAACCTGGCTAGTAAATGTATTTGCTGATTCTTTCCAGTAAAATTTTCCCCATTGCTTTGTGACACTAGTCTCTCCGTCATTCTTCCAACTTAGTCAATCCCTGATGCTCCTTGCTGTCCTAATAACTGGAGAAAAAAAATGACCAAAATACAAAAGGTCTTCCATGGGCCATTCAAGATAATTTGACGGACATCTAGTCATGATTTTGGTCTTCTACCATACTTTGCATAGGTTCTGTGATATCATATACAGCAATATTTTCTGTCATTGTTTTTTTTTAAATATCAAAAACTAAGAAAAGCATGAGCAAACCAAACAAGTGCCTACATTTTGTAAGTAACCATCAAATTTGTTAGAATGGCCCAAATTACAGCAATTGATAAGACCAGAATGTATACATATATATATATATTCCTTTTCAATGTGATTATGTACAATTGCGAAGTACAATGTATTAGCTTATTTAGTAATCACCAGTGGAAGAGAGAAGAGAGATAGGTCTATGTGCTTCAGAAAGGCACTACCAGCATGCCCTACTACCCATCATGCAAAGCTACGCTTCCCAGAATCCTTCACTCCTCATGCAGAGAAGGTGGAACACCCGAACTTCCCAGCATGCACTTGTTAGCTGTGTCCTTCCATCATGCAACTGTGCTATCCCAGAGTGCTTTGCTCAGTTTGGCGGGGCGTGGGGACTGAAATCGGGTGGTGGGTTAGCGAGACGGTAGTCTTCGTATAGCTGGTCCTCAGAAGCCCTTTCCGCTATATTCTTGCGTCTTTTTAACATTTCCTGGTGGAAGAACATTAAGAAGGTGACATAGGAGTAAGATCTATCTATAGCTACCTGGCCGCATCATGCATCTGGGCCTTTTGCTAGCGAAGGAAAGTTAGCTGAAAGAAAGAGGTTAGGGAGTTAGTAACAGTAACAATGGTAAGTTACAGAATACCATGACTTGTACAGGTCCATGTGGATGGTTAGTTTGATGGAATGAGTAGATTAAACAGGGATTTAATGTAGTTAGGATCCTGGTTAGAATCTAACCCAAGAAAGTTAAAAGTAGTATGCCCTTGAATCTTACTCCATCTAAAAATATATCTAACAGCCTTCTCAATAGACCTATTGGATATCCTTTAAATTGGTTTAAGTACTATTATATTAACCAAGCAAAGCTGCATTCTTGTTGGGAAGTGGCATTGTAAGTTAATCTCTAGGCAGATGTGTAATGTTGTTAGGAGGGAATGTTGAGTGTAACAATCTCAAACATTTTTCTGGGACATTTTGTTGAAAAATAGCCTAAAATCCAGTCTTCTTGAGCTTGCCTTCACTTGCAGTAAATACAAGCTGAACAAGGATGGATTCTAGGCTATCAGGAAAATGGGGCAGCTAGAAAACATTACACAGTCCCTCCTGACATCTGCTTGGAGATTAGTTGTAAGTAGTGCTGTGTACCATTTTACTGGACCAGTTGACTTGTAAAAATGTTTAGGTAAAAAGTAAAAAAAACTTAATAGGCAAGAACCAGTTCCAGACTTATTAAAAAAAACATGTCAGATATCCCTATTCGATCCAAACCACCCAAAATATTCCATTAAATTGCAAAATCTGTGCTGCAAAATGACGAAAACATTGCCATCAGGCATCGTCAAGTGTTGGCTTCCATGTTATGTGGCTACAGTTTTGCCATTGCAAGGTTGCCAACATGCAATTTTGTATATGCCATGGGTTCAGGTCCGGATTTACGAGTCCAGAACTGAACCTAAACCTCTGGACTTGAATCCGGACCTGAACCTAAAAGTGGGTTTAGGTACACAGCACTAGTTGTAAGTCTTAGTGGGGAGGGAGGGCTCAAAATCGGGAGGTGGGTCGGACAGCATCTGTTGGTAGGCGGGGTCGCTGGACATATCCACCGTCTCCCGCCGATGCTTCAGAAAGTCCTGAAATGTCACATTTTCCTCGTGGGTTAATGAGGTTAATATTGGTTAATGCTAACTCGTTGTTAACCAGTGCTAACCACCATTGACAGTGGACAGGTTGTTGTAGTAAAGTTAGATGGAAAGTAGTGAGTTGTTGTATGTTATAAAGGTTAAAGTAAGAAAGTTTTCGGCTTGAAACAGAATGATAGAATGAACACGTGGTTTTAAGAGCTAGATATATGGAGAACAGGGTAAAGTGTAATGAAATGATTAAACTAATATCAATAACTGTATTAATTATTTTGCAAGAAATCCACCAAGACAGTTGAGGTATTTCTGAAGGATAGGTTACTTTCCAAACCAAGCTTTTTGTAACCGTCGAATTTTCACCCAAGGAAAAAATTGTGTGAATTGTAGATACTTGTTGGAAAAGATCAGACAAGTATCTGAAATAATGATTTTTTGTTAAGTTTAGTTTAATATGAAATTTGTTCTTTCCGGCTGTATTGCTTAAGTTCTGGAAAATTAGTTTTACATAATAATAATAATTGTGAATATGCATCAAACTGAAGCAGGCTACAAATACTTAATTTATAACAAGGAGGTAGATGAAATCTTCATTATTGTTAACCTTGTTACTACATTGTATACTAATAATGAACAATGCATAAAATACTATTTATGTTCTTTTGTTTGGTAATGATGCTGAGATACCATCAATAGGTTAATCTTCTCTTTGCTGCTGACACAAAATCTTGTCGCTCAAAAGACTATCTCAGCAGGGTGAAAGTGCAAAAATGTGCAAAAAGGCAGGAGAAAAAATTTTGAAATCAGACAGAAAGACACAGGAAAGGCAATTGAAAGCAAGATGAAAACAGAAGCAAATAGTTGTGAAAATAGAGTTTATTTCATCTCAGAAGTCTTGTGTGTCGCTGTTGGTCAAAGCATTGGTTAATGGTGGTTAACAAAGGTTTCCTTCATTAATATCAACTTTGCTAACCCAACTCAGCAAAGATTCTTGCCAAACCAATGTCCACCATACAGGCTTAAGGTTCTGGGTGGAAATTTGCTATGATAAAATCATACTTAATTTTGGATGCAGCATAACACAAAAAAGTAGGCATTTGGCTTTGAACTGAATTTTGCCTTTAAAAAATACATGATGCAAGTGACTCAGTTGAAAAGCAAGAACCTTTCACAGTTTTGTCTTTTCTTTCTCTAAACTAGGTGCATACATTTAGTGGGTTGCTATTTCTAACCTATACCTACAAACTACAAATAACTGTGAAGTTCTTTAATTTGGCAAGGGGTTTATTTCATCAAATTTGGCAGTTTGTTCCTGTCCAAGATCTTTCAAAGCCGATTCAAACAAGGATACATGTACATGACTTTCAAATGCTTTCTGTTAATCAGTAAATGCTTTTTTTTCCATTTTTCCATTCCAAACTTGCTAAAATAAAGCCCCACCAAAATAAAGGCATTTAGCAGTATATCTATATACATTCACCACTAAAATGATACAAGATTAACTAACACATTTTATAACTAACATCCAACAATTTTGGAATGTCGTCAATATTTTTACACTACAAAAGAACTTTATATGGAACGAACATAGCACTTGAGACTATCATAATAATATCATAACTTTTGCCTGTAAATTTCTGTCCTCGATTCTTACAGTGTCGTACACACCCGGATATAATGCAGAAATATTCACTGACTTACCAACATAACGCTCCAAAAGGAGAAAAATAAAGTGTACACGCCAAAGATATAAATCATTACGTGTTAGAAGCTTGCAAATTAAGCAGCACACAAGGATTAACATTGTTAGATCCAAGCTTCCACACCGGAATCAAACTTCAAAATATTTGCCTCAAAGCATGATATGCAGATTATATCTCATAAATCTTTTTTCTCTTTTACATTTTACAATATATTTGCAGCCAATAATTCACCCATTATAAGCAGTTACAATATTTGATTCAGCATTGTTGTGCATTAGCATGTACCATTATTAAAAAAAGGGGGTTGTAGATTAAATTTCACTTTGCAGTTCCATTGATTAAGCCATGTAGTTACAGCACTAGTGGTGGGGTCTACCACTGCTTCTACGGGGGTGTCATGGTCCAAAATCCCAGTCTGATACCTGTAGCTCACTCTGGTTGCCCCCCTGCTGGTCCAGTAGGCTCTTCTGGACTGTGATTTGGCTGTACACTTTCTGGCCCTCCTCGTAACAAACGGTTTTCAGCTCGTCTTTAGTCAGGCTGAAGAGTTGTGCACCGGTCAGGACACCCAGGCTCTCCACTGTCAGTTTACTGCCAAACAAAACACATGCATTTCCTTAGGAAACTGCCAGGGGGCTGTAAACGCATCCAATGTGGCAAAACTGGATTTCCAAAATCAACAATTTTCTGGTCATTCTTTAATGTAATAAATGTAGTAAGTTGAATTAATTATATGAATCCCATTGCATATTGATAACTGTGAGGCAAAAATTAAAATGCGATGGAAAATTGTTGCTTGTTTCGTATAGTAGGCTGGTTCTAGCTATTTATTGGTGGTACCCCAAAAATAAAGGGACACCTCAAAAACATGTAAATGTAGCTTGTTTTAGGTTTTTTCAAATGCAAAGTATGAAATGATGACAGAAATGTGCTGAGAAATGGCAGTAAATGTCAATATCAGACAGATAGTAAGTTCCTGTGCATTCTTCCTCTGTTGTACTCTCTCATACATGTATTATCAATGCTATCCCTACAACCCTTTCTTACCTGAACCCCCTGCTCTGCAGCCACTTGGTGACCTCCTCTGGGGTGGAGTCATAGTCAATGCTGATAGAGGGAGCTGTTGAGAGACAAATTAACACAGTAGTCAGCATTTACAACTGTAGCGGTTCTACAAAATGTGGTCTGTTCAAAACCGACTGCACCAAAACAACCATGCAACTGTTTCATTGTAAGTAGCATCGCACTTCATGTATAATAGCCATCTACATTTCTACTTGACAGAATGTTATGTCAGGTAAGATTCCCCACCCCTGGGCCTTGGTGCAAACTTGCGATGCTTCCCCATCGTCATACGCGTCTTCAGCTCCTCCTGAAGATCGTCTGCCTGTCGCTCCTCCGGGGATGGCTTCCGCGCTCGGGTCTCCTCGGGAGGGGGGCTCTGGGAGGGGGGTACACACACAGGGGGTGGGCATGAGTAACTGTTGTCAGATTCTGACATAGAATGACAGGGAAAACATATAGTCTACCAAGTTGAACATGAAAGAAGTAACTTTTTAAAACCAGAACTATAAGAAAAACAAAATCTTTTCTGTATGCCTTTTACACTCATAGCTTACATGCAATACAATCAAATTGAACATCTACTATTATAATAGAAAATTTATTGCAAATACATGTACATGCATAAAGGCAAATTGCAAGGACATACATGTAGATTCGATAGAACATGATAAAATAATCATAAAATACTAATAGTAAACAGTAAATATCAAATGGCATCAAATCTTTCTGATTCCTTAAAAGTAAAAATCATCTTTGGAGCTATGTGAGTTACTAAAAACTATCTACATTGTATACTACAAATACATGTATAAGCAAATGTATTATATAACACAGTCACATACAATGTAAACTTCTACATGTAGGCTATCATACTTCCTAAAGCCTTCTATGAAACTTTTTCTCACAGTGAACAAACTTCAATCTAGAGATAGTATACCAGTACATAACTGATGTATGTAGTGCAGGTGTACCAGTGCTATTAGTAGGTATATATGGGGTACGTAAAACAAGGAAATGCACAGCGTGAGGTTCCTCATGACACATCAGTTTGCACATTTGTGTCTTTCCTCCTGCGACACTTATTTGGCACGAAGATTTAAGGAACCTCACGCAGTGCATTTCCTCATTTTAAGTACCCCATGTATAGCTCGTGTTAGGTAGAACTTCCACCATGTTAATACTCACCCTGGGAGACTCCTTTTTCTTGGAATTTCTGAAAGGCTGGGCGGTGGGCTGGGAGGGAGGGGGTGGAGGGGGTACGGGGGCCGGGGGAGGGGGTGCGGCGGCCTGCGAGGGGGGGATGTGTGAGGCATAGATAGGCGTGTCGGACGACCGCTTCTGGTGTCAGAGGTGTGAAATGTGCAGGAAAGAAAAGGAAAAACACAAAAACCAATTAATGAAAGTAATGAAGCCGACGTGTAAGGTTGAGGTTAGGACTTCATTAATAACGTCCATGTGTCTTTCTCTTTGAACTGTTAAAAAAAACCCACCAAAACCAAAGCAAATTTGGTGCCAAAAGGCTGGGAAAAGGTAACTCTGAAATTTGGTCTATCATACAATGCTTTAATAAAAAAATGTTATTCAATTGAAAATTTAGTAAATAGACAGTTGTTTCTTAAGCATAATTTTTAAGCATTGGAAGGTGTAATTTTTTTTACAAAAAAAAAGAGACAAAATTGACTAAAATGTCAAATAACGCAATTTGAAAGGGGAAAACAATGTTTTTTAAACATTATGATTGTCCCCAAACTTTGAATGGCAACAGTTATATTTTTCAGTCCAAAGAGATGGTAAAAAGAGACCCATGAACTAATAACCAATGGCCCACTGTCTCAAACCTTACACCTTAAAGAAAATGAGCAACAAAGTCTAATAAACCTTGTTGACCACAATCATGCATTTCACCACACTTGTATGACACTGTATACATGTAGGAAAACCAGCACTGAAATAGAAATAACCCACGAACGTGCAAATTATCAAAACCCCAACCATAAACACCAAATGAATGAAGCTAACACCACACCACATAGGGATGTTTCTGATATGTGTGTCTAAGTGAATGTACATGTACCTTCAGTGTATTTGTTATATTGTTGTCATTCATTAATTTTAGTATGGTATGGTAGAATTTGAGTGTGTACTACCAAAAGTCCATGAGTACAATGTACTTTTTTCTAGAAAGTCAATTCCTATTACTGTATTTCTAAAAAGTATGATACTAACCTGTAACTACCTGTATCAGTCTGCCTTATTCTATAATCATTATCATAATGATCATTGCTGAGTTTGCCTAATAATAGATGCTCTTGTTCTGACAATCATAATGACGATAACACGTATGACAATACAAACATTTTTCCCTTGACATAAGCAAATTAAAGCAATTACCAAACCTTAATGCCAGAACAACACACAATGTACTTTGCAGACAAATTCTGTCTACTGAAGACTATCCTTTTCAGTTATAGCTTACATCTAATAGTATATAGTACTTAACTTTTCGACAATCCGTCTGAATTTGTATGTAGAACAATGTTAGGATCAAACATTTCAGCTTCAGCTTTATCTGAGCACACATCTGTATATAGTATAAAATCCTAGCCTGGTTCTGCCAGCTTTGCTCATTAGAACACTGGCTAGCTGGCTGTAAGCTACACTAGTGCTCTACTGTACTGACCTGTATGTGATGATGGTACACAGGTTCAGGAGGCATGCTGTGCCTGGATGAACCGTTAGGTGCTCGCTCCTGTGCAGGGGAGGGGAGCTGGGTGTCCAGGATGGTAGATGGCACAAAACCAGACTACACAGGGGGGAGGGTAAAAAATACAGTTTACATGTACCAGTAATTATCAGTTCTCGATTCTTTTCATGACACAGTGATAGGTACAGTGAAAAATTTTCTTCCAACTTAAAAAATGGTACTATTGTTTGGAAGTCATTTAACATATTTCAACATAATGCTGGATGTACAGTGTGTACAATGTACAGCTAAAATCATTAAGAAGCTGCCTGCCTTTAAAGTACTATATTGTCTTTCTTTTGTCAATTGTATATAATAATTCATAAACTTTATATTACATTAATGTTACATGTATGTATCTAAAAGTTCCTGTATGTGAAGTAACTAGGGCTAAGATCATACAATCATGTAAAATCTTATACTGGAAAGTTTTAAACTGCAATGAAGAACTTTTATTAGAAGAATCACATCTAATTGTTTAAAAAACAAAGCATGAGATCTGTCTGGTTCTCACCTGTCCGGAGATGTTCCTGACGTTCCACCAGGTGCGCGTGTCGTCCAGCACGTCCAGGATCTCCTGTGCGACCACGGTCAGCTCGCGGTCATTCCGCGCCACGAAGTCGTGTCTGACCAACACCCTGAACTTCACATCATCCGGGTAACCCCTGCAGCAAACACAGGCAACCTACATGTTAGCTTTTACAGAACAATTATGTATAAACTATAATAGATACTGTGTTTCATCCCGGGTAACAATGTATGGTACAGCAAAGATAGTACTACAGTACATGTAAAATAAATACTAGTAAGAGGGAAACCTAAATTAAACGTAAATTCTCTCTTCTGAAGAAAGCATTCTATGTACACTGCAAAAAATGCATTTTCTTGTTTTTCTTGTTTCTTCTTCCAGAAAGAAAAAAATCCTTCAAGGAAGAAAACTTTCTTCGTGTAAGAAAAAGATTTTGTCCACGAATTAAGAAGTTTTTTCTTAGAATTTTTTTCTTATAGAGTTTTTCTTGTAGTGAGAATATCTTCCTTATCGGTTTCTAATATTCATGTAGCTGGATTGTAGAAACATCTAGAATGATATTCTTGCATTAAGATTTATATTCTCGTTCCAAGAACGTAATTCTTGGAAATTAAGAATTAGGATCTTGAATACATGTATTCCATATGAAAGTACTTCTTACCTTTAAGGAAGCTTTTCTTGCTTCTAAGATTTAAGTTCTTATAGTAAGAATACCTTTCTCTACAGAATTAAGATTCTTGTGCCCAGAAAAGGCTTCTTGCTTTTAAGGTAGACGTTCTTGATATATTAAGAATATCTTTCTCACCAGAGGCCCAGGATTCTTGATCCCAGAAAGTTCTTCTTGATTTTGATATTGACATTTTCAGACGATAACTAAGAATATTTTTCTCACCCGAAGATGAAGACTCTTATTTTTAACAGAATTTTTTTCTTACTTTGAAGATTGACATTCCAATAATAAGAATATCGTTCTTATCTCAAGACTAAAAATCTTGCCTATACCAGAAAATTTTCTTGCCTTTAAGATTAGCATTCTCAGAATATCTTTCTTATCTTGAGACCAAAATTCTTATTTCTACCAGGAAGTATTTCTTGCTTTTAAGATTAGCATTCTTATACTAAGAATCTTTCTTAACTCAAAAAAATGAAATTCCTTCATCTGTTAGAAACTTTTTATTGCTTTCAAGATTAACATTCTTACATGGAAATTAAGAATAGTTTTCTCAACCCAAGAGGGAACTTCTTATTTCTACTAGAAAGAGTTTCTTGCATTCAAGATTAACATTCTTAAACTAAGAATATTTTTCTTACCCAAAGATGAAAATTCTTCCTTTTACTAGAAATAGTTTCTTGCTTTTAAGATTAACATTCTCATACCAAGAATATCTTTCTCACCTCAAGACCACAATTCTTGTTTCTGCTAGAAAGTTTTTCTTGCTTTTAAGATTAACATTCTTGTACTAAGAACACCATTCTTACCACAAGACAAAAATTCTTATTTCTAGAAATGTTTTCTTGCTGTTAAGAACATATTTCTTACCAGAAGACCAAGTTTCTTGATCCTAGAAAGTTTTTCTTGCTTTTAAGATTAAAATTCTTATACAAAGAATATGTTTCTTACCAAATTTCTTATCAAGACCAAAATTCCCATTACTAAAACGTTTTTTCTAGCTTTTAAGATTAACATTCTTGTACTAAGAATACCATTCTTACCACAAAACCAAATTTCTTATTTCTAGAAATGTTTTCTTGTTAAGAAAAACATTCTTATGCGAAGAACATATTTCTTACCAGGAGACCAAGTTTAGTTTCTTGATCCAAGAAAGTTTCTCTTGCTTTAATTTTAAAGATTAACATCCATCATCATCATCATCATCCATACACTTACAATAATAAACATAAGATTATCTTTAACAAGATCTGATTACAAAACTTGTTGGACTTTTGATAATCTTGGTAGACACGCTATGTTAGTCTGTTCAGTCCCAGCTTGGAAGTGGATAGCATTTCTCCCTACACGAAGAAAACCTCAACATTGGCAAGGTCACAATCCTCCCGCATCTGGAAAAAAATTTGAAGAAAAAATGATGCCATTATTACTGACACAAGTAAACACACATTGTGCCTGTGGCAGTGATGCGAAATAAATTATGCTAAATAAAGATATCATTCTGTTACTTATGAAAATATATGTTTACCTCCAGATAAAAATAAAAACTGTGTTACTGCTGTAACAGTATTTCAGAATTAACCCTGCAGCGAGGGAATGTAATCTCCCAATGACCTTTAGGTCATGGGCAAATAGCTGGTAGCTTTTAACATATAAGCTCCTAAATTACAGGGAAAAATATTGTGTTTTGAACTGAACCAAATTAAAAGAGGCTAAATTGTTATTTCAAAATCCTAGTTAATGATTTTCATGCTTGTTTTTTGTACCTAAACCGATCAGAAACCCTTTTTGACGTCTTTTTACCTATGGGGGAGGGGGGTGCGGAAGCACTTACCTTGTATATATAAAAAAATCCAGCATTTCCGTACCAAACTTGGTTCTTTCTGCAGCCTGACAGCAATCTCCATTGCCTCTCTTGTCCAAGATCCCCTGTACCCTGTTTTTGACTTTGAAACTGATCCGAATCATTTGATAGAAACAGAAGTTAACAGGACCAGCATTTCCACGAACTGAACTCTGTCTCCTGCATGAGCACTTACTGTCATCTGGGATATGAATCCACCAATCAGGGGCTTACAACAAAGATCACATGACAAATGCTGCCATTGGTCAAACTTTATATTGAGTTCAAACCAGAAAGTATTTCTTGTATTTTCTTGAACATAAACAAGAAAAACAAGAATTGCCTTTCTAAAAATTTCTTTACAATGAAAAAGAAGACTGGTATTCTAATCATGACTTGAACATTTTCTTTGTGGTATATCTCAAGAAAGGCAAGAAACAACTTCTTGAATTTTCTTAACATTGCCAAGAAAACTGAGAAGTACCTTTCTCAGAGTTTCTACATCAGAAAAACAAGAACATTTAAGAATGTCATTCTAGTGTTACGTGTTTAGCATGATCTTGATTTTTCTTATTTTCCTTACCTGAAGAAAATACAAGAAAAGAAAGAAACAGCTTCTTGTATTTTCTTAAACATTACCAAGAAAACTCAGAAATGCCTCTCTTAAGTTTCTAGATAAGAAAAACAAGAATATATAAGAATGTTATTCTAACCATTACTTGTTTTTTGATATCTTGATTTTCTTGCTTTTTCTTATCAGAAGAAATACAAGAAAGGGCAGAAATAAATTCTAGTATTTCTTAGAACAGTCAAGAAAAACAATCTTGCTAGACAAGAAGATCAAGAAATTCAAACTTGAAATTCTAGAAATTCTTGAAGGCAATTACAGTTTTTAGAAATAATTTCTTCACTGAAGAAAAATGAGAAAAAAGTTCTTCGTGGGAGAATTCACTTGAATAAATTTTTTCTTACTCATCCGTCTTCAGTCTTAAAATTTCTTTGTGTAAGAAAATTTGTCCACGAATTAAGAAAATATTTATTATTAAGAAAAACAAGAAAAAAGATTTTTTGTAGTGTATTAGTTGCTCAGAGATAAGCCAAAAAGTTTCACTCCAAAATCATCATGTTGTTTAAATACAAAATATACTTAAAAGCTACATTTGTATGTCATACACCAAAGTTCAGATGTGAGATACAATAATGCGCATTCAGTGTGATAAAAAGCTCCACTTCAAATGGTTGGCTCTGTGCAGATTTGGATACACAAGAGTTGTACACAGTGCATGTGTAGGATGCGCATTCAGACTCTTGTGTTGGTATACAAAAGTGACTTGCGAGGGATTGAACCTTGGAGTCACTCAAATACTCACTAACTTGTGTACAAGTCTGTACAAAGCTTATACATGTACAAAACTCCTGGAACACAGTGATACGAACAGTGCAGAATTGAAAGTTCAGGGTCAAGGCTAAAGATGAGAATGATGAAGACAGGTGAAAGTGATGAGAGGATGTGCAGGCTTTTTTTGAGGGTGAACCAGAGTAGCCTCCGAAGCAGGAAAAAGGCTGCAATTCAAGTGTACCCAGCTAGGGTGCGCTTCGGAGGCTATCAGGCTGGGTGGAAGGCTGTGCAGGTTTTTTTTAAGGGTGAACCAGAGTAGCCTCCAAAGCAGAAATAAAAAGGCAGCATTTAAAGCTGTGCTTTGGAGGCTATCAGGCTGTGCAGTTTGGATGTTGGGAGCCTGTGCTGAACCTGAGGAGCCGGGCTATATGCTGGGATGTCATGGCGTGGCCTGGGGGGGCAGACAGGTGGGACTGGGAGGACGGGGTTCGCTGCGGGCGGCCGGGGCGTAACAACGTTTCCGCTGACCACACTCGCCTCTCGCTATACGCTCGCTGTGGCCGGAATCTGACGGTGGTGGGGGAGGGTTAGTAGAGGTTAGGGAAGGAGATGAATGCCCGTAGCCAGGATTTTCAATGGGGGGGTTCTCCTCACTGCTTGAGGGACCAGCGAGCGTCGTAGGCGATAGGTGAGCGCTAAAAGCGTAAGGTTCCGGGGGCATGCTCCCCCGGAAAATTTTGAAAAAGAACCTTCTGAAATGGCATTTCCTGCATTTTTGAGAGGATTTCAAAGAAAAAAAAAATCAGAGATAATTTTTTATTCAATGATAGATTTAGCAGTTTTCTATGATTCCAGCCCCACTGGTGATACGAATCAGTCAATCTCTTAAAGAAAAATCTTGGACCTTTAGTAGATGAAAGTGGACCAAAAAGTGGACCTTTGAGCCTTGTGGGGGGGGGGGTCGTCCGAACCCCCCTGGCTACGGGCATGAGATGGAACTACAGACAACACTGGGAACATTATCTGGTCAGTCTGTTTCTCAACTTGGACATGCAGCACCAACCAAGCCATGTTGTGGAAAAAAATGACACAGGTACATGTACTAATGTCTTGATCACCCTGGTGCAGCAAATACAGTTAATGTACAATCATACAGTATATTTTCGAATAATGTGCTGTGCACCTCTTTTGCACACTCAAGTTTATCTTTATAGATGGAGTCTAGAGTAGTACAGGCTAGATTTATTGAGTTTGAAAGACGAGAAAAGACATGCTTGGAAATTTTAACACCATGCAAAACTTCACCCATAGCAAATATTATTTTGCATTCTGTCCATAGTATAGGACCAGAGAGCAAAAAGTATTCTTGCCAGCATTAACTTGAATTGTTAAATAACAGTCACCATACACACTACAAATTTATAAGTATAAATTAAGTAAATGAATAGATTCTGAACTACCAAAGTATGCACACCAACTATGTAGCATGCAGAGTCAAGTCTATCTGTTCTAAGTTATTTACTATTCATGCTTACAAAACCAATGTGTAGCAGAAGAATGCTACAGTACCTGTTCTTTCTATAGGGTCTACAACAACACAGCACAGAGACAGCAGAAACAAGAGTTAGTACAGAACAGAGATGTACATTCAAGTTCAAGTTTCTACAGGTCTGAAATTACTACAAAGACACAGGAATACGAGAGGTAGAAATAGTATACACGATTGTACATCTGAGTTAAAGATATTCAGAGCATTACATAGTTACATTAAATGTAGAACTGGTATAAGTTTCAATTTTATCAATTTTAAAAGTTCAAAAATTTCAAAGTGAAGTATAGTCTACATGATTGTGCAGATTTTAGACTAAAGATGCATGCATTGAGTTTTATAGAATGATGATATTACAGAATGTGGGGGTCTAGCCAACTACATTGTATCAAAATTTGTCTAGTCTAGATATGCAGTTGTCTGACTAAAGATTCAATCTGATATAAACACACAAAATGACTATGTAGTGAGGGTCTATCCAACTACATTGTCAGTGTCAGAATTTTTCTTACATGTATACTGTGCTTCTGAGTGTAACACTGGTAGCACATGCTTTACCACCATGAAAATTGACCCGATCGTTTTAGAGACAGGTTCACCCGAGAAACTGGACCCACCTGTCGTAAAAATGGTTATACCTGTGATGATGATACAGATACCTCTCAGGAGTTCTGTCGAGGGAGGGTTAGCCAAGTTGGGAAAAAGAGATAGAGAGTGGGAAAGTGATAGGAACCAAGACTCATCCACACATTAGGCCACACCAATTTAATTTGTTGGTTTAGTTCTCGGATTTGCCTCTTCATTTTTTTATGATTTGCAAAAAAAAAAAAAAAAGATTCTGGTTCTGAATCAACTAAAAAATGCTCATATTTTGCCCCCAACAACAGTTGATGAAAGTCTTCTTCTTCCTAGTTGTTACAGTTTTTTTCCATCAACCAATTTGCAGTGGTTTGATTAAAAGTTGAAAATTCATTGTTTAAATATCAACCCGGCCTTTTGTGTTGACTTCATGGCTCCTTTCATAGCAATTGGGGGTATACTAAAGGATACCTAGACCTGTTTTTATTTTTATTGCTTTTCGCCCAGTGTCGCTTCATATTTTCTCTAAAAAATCCGTGAACCAACAAGTTACAAATTAAATTGGTGTGGCCTTATCAGTAATCTTATTAAAGCTTCCAGACATCATCATCATCAAAGTCTGTAGACTCTCAACCTACCAAGCTGTGAAATCCAAAAAAATCTAGACCTCACTGTGACAATGTAAAATCAACATTCTATGATATTCATTGAAAGATTTAAAAATATATATATATTAGGGTATCTCCCAAACTACTTTGAGGGCTGAAAACTGCACTACATTGCATGAAAGAAAACAATTTGAAAAGCTCCGTTTAGACCTCAATTAAGAAGTGAAACACCTTTCTTTTACTACAAGTTTTAGGTTACAATTATAGCAAGAAAGATAACATACAAAGATAAATTCAAATGTAGGTACCGGTAATATTAACATCAATAAAGAATACTCTCGTTGAAAACAAGTAGGTACAAGAAATAGTTTGATGTATTTTAAAATTGATATACTGTAGACTTTCCAAATTTCCAGTGTCTCTCCAACTATTGTGTGTTTAGCGGCTCCTTTCTTCTACGTTTTCAGTCCCAAAAGCAGTTTGGTAGAAATTACACAATAGGAAAGACAATGTGTACATGTAGGATATTGTGGCTGACTGTTAAGCTCACCTGTCTCTGTGTCTGTAATCGTACATGTACCTGTCATAGTGCCTATCGGAATGTCTGCACAGAGAGAGGAACAGAGCAAGCAGAGGGATCAGAGGGCTTCAGTATAGCATTAGTCATTAGAACAGTGTCATGTAATACATGTACACAGAGCAACATACATGTACAAGTCATTCGCGGAAAGCAAGAAGTCAGCTTGTCATCATGAGGCACTTTTAAAACTTCAATATTAATGTATGATGGACGGATTGCTAAGATTGAATTTCTCCTTTTGTGTACTGAAATGCCTTTATATGACTAATAATATTAAGGGATTAACATTCTATTCATTGATTTTGTAAAATGTGCTATAAGGGTCTCATTTTAAAGTCATGAACATGCAAATGAGCCAGTTTTAAAAAGGGTCTTATTTGCATGTTCGTGAGACTTAAATGGCAACCTAATTTTTTTTACCAAATGTACTACCTACAAGCTAGTAAAGGTAGAAGTTATACAAGTGCATGGGGTAATGATTGATGTGAAACTATATGTAGTTAGATGTCTTACACTAACGGGTCTAGATGGAAGTTTTCCTCAACAATAATTCCGGAGAATTGAAAGAGCAAAGGAATAAAAGAGAGAAGAAAGGAGGTGATCACCTGTCGTGTGGCCTGCTCTCGTACCTGTCATTATATCTCCTCTCTACATCTCTCTCAGGAGTCCTGGAGGTCAGAGGTCACAAGAGGGAGGGCAAGAGCAGAAGAACAGACAAAAAGTCAGAAAAGCGATTTGACAGAAAGAATACTATATATCTGTAAAAGTAGTTTAAAGGTATAAGGTAAAATCTATTGTTTGAAAAAGCAACAAATTCAAACTGCAAGGCAATGCACATACATGTAAGTTGTTAGCAGTGCAAAAAGGAGTAAAGAGGTAACAATGACACAACTGACACAATATCAAAAATTCTGTATTGTCCACATTTTTATGCTCTTCAGTCACTGATGATGATACAGACAGTAACATTCATGCATGTTCTCAAAAAGGTATGTGTATTCATACAAAATATAGGGGCAAAAAAGAATATGTGGTATACTTTTTGTTGTTCTTTGGCTATACATACACAAATGGAAAATCTGCATTTTGTGTGTCATAATCTTTTGAATTTAAACACACCAGACCATGCATTGTGTGGTAGTGACAATGGCAATGAAAGGAGTCAGAGGTGTACAATGAGCCGAGTAAGGCCCTACCTCTCCCTTCGCCTATTTTCCGATCTGTCAGAATTCCGGTCGGATTGGTGATCAGAATGTTTTTCTGGGGTTCTAAAGAAGGCAAGGCAAGGCTTTGAAGATGAGAGATTGCGAGAACTACACTGAAGAAAGAGGACAGCTCAAAAGAATCTCAAAGAAAGGAAAAATTTGGTCTGAGAGTTTTGTGCAACTCCTTTTTATAATGTTGTACTCTTACAGTTATACATGTATGTGCCTTATGGAGTATATATGGTATTTGTAAGTGACCACCACATATTCACTGTTGTGTTTAGTGTCCATCTATTTGCAGGTACTAGTATCATTTTTTCATGGTACATTCATTTGTAAGTGTTAACACATTCACAGTCATTGCACTTGTTGTTTATAGCATTAGGGAAACCCAAGCTTACATAATAGCTCATGACATAATGCACAAGGCATACATGTATACCATGACAAACATGCATAATCATTTTGTGATTACAAAAATTGTTATTATTGTAGTGTTCATGCAATGCAAAGACAAGCAAAGCTTAATGCCTAAATGAACAGTGTACATAATGTTATACAAATCAGAAACAGGCATTTTGTATTCAACCAAAAGTACATGTAGCATGTCGGCAGAACGTACTGCACCTGCGCGAAACCCGTAATGTATTGTACATAGCACTTCAGCAGAACGTCTCATATAAGGTCGTATTCGCTCATATAAGGTTAGAATTTCGACAGTAGTTTCCAAATGTTGTGCCAGACAAGATATTGTCTGCAACAGTGAAAATTCTGATGAAACGTTGACCAAAAATCCAACGAAAAAGCGAAAATCCAGGGTTCTGCGCAGGAGCAGTACGTTCTGCCGACGTGCTACCAAAAGTGAACCTCAACAATCACAATGCAATTGAAACATATCCCCAAGTGTTCCGACCAACCACAGATGTTTAACCTGTGAACTTCGGTAAAACTCACCTCTCCTCCTCTTTACTATTCTGTTTGTCGTCAGACTGTTTATCTGACTGTTTGTCTGACTGCTTGTCCGAGTTTCTGTCACAGGAGGTTAGGGTTAGGGTTAGGAGAATGGGATAGAAATACACATGAGGGTTTAACTACGTAATATACACTACAAAGGCAAGGAAAAAGACAAAGTACATTGAAATTTGTTAGAAATTAAAAGCCACAGATCTACCATTAAGTACTAGAAGAAATCTAGCTTCTCACAGTAAGGTATATAAGACAAAACAGAACTGGACAGTAGCACATGGTACATTAGAGACAGGGATTATTTCAAAGGCTACTAAGTCAAACATAAAGAAAGATTTAGAAACAGTCATGCAGGCTGGTGGGTAACTTTGTATGTCCTTGTGTGCATGCTTCCTGGCTGTCCAGAGTTCATACATAGATGTATCACATGATGCTAAAAATGACAACAGTACATGTAACTGCTCTTTATAAAACCCATGCCAGTGTTCGTTCATGAATCCTGAATGTGTTAAATATTAATGATAAAAATATGATTCTGAACCAACCTGTTAGATGGCTGGTCCCTATAGTTGGAGCTACGCTCTTCAGCCTGGAAAGGAAAAACAGGAAATTTTAAGAAAGTTGTTATGCTAAATCTTGCTGATGAATGCTAAATCTTGCTAATAGAACGGTCCCTTACTAACTACAATAGTCAGTATCACAAAACCTGAACTTTTACACTTGAGCACTCTGTACACCTTTAGTGATCTGTAACTACTAGTATCATGATTATGATAGTTTCTGCACATTCTGCACAATTCCTACTTAACTCTTCATACTACAAACAAACAAACTAACAAACAAACAAACAAACCTCTTGTTGTTTTAAGTTGAAAGCTAATATTCCTATGTATTCTCATAATATTTGTAGCCAGAATTAGCTCTTTTTGGAAACCTGGCTGTACTTTCTACTTTATATCACAGCCAAACAAACAAACAAACAAACCTCTTCTCTTGCGGTTGACTTCCTCATCTCCTCGTCCCTGGCGACGGCGGCGGCCTTGTGTGCGACCACGGCGGGGAGGTCATCGCTGACCGGCAGGGGGTTGTTTTCCCCGGGGATGGGCGGCGGCTCCCAGCCGTCACGGAAACGTGGGATGTACGGGGGAACGTACTGGTCCTTTGACCAATTAGCCCTGAACATGGAGGAAAATGATTTACAATCGACATCATACTATGCTGCTTGGAGGAACTCCACTCTGCTTCTCCAAGTATCTGTCTTTTAATGATGTTATAGCTCTTTTTGTCTTTCTTGATGTACCCAACTTTCTGAATGCACAACACCAGCTTTTGCTTTCAAAACTGCTGACTTCTGCTCAAAGGATGTAAATTTGGGTGAGTATTAGTCTTGGCAACTGTATGTAAACATGCATTTCTCCTAATGGATTCTACCAACACAGATGGGACTTTCAAGCTATGATATCAGACAACATAGTGCGGCGCTACCTTGAGTAAAGTGTACTATCACCCTGTTGTAGTGGTTTTTCAAGCGTGTATTCAACTACTAACTGTAGAAACTGAGATGGGTAAGGCCTTCACACTGAAATGGATGGGAAGGATTTTGAATTGTAACTGACCTTGAGGTAGTCCATGCTGGCCCCAGGGACAGCCAGAGGTCACCCTCCCTGGAGGTCACACAGTTCTTCAGCAGGTCTATGGCCTGGTCTGTCAGGAGGGGAGACACCACTGACTTGGCAAGGTCCACTCCCTGGAACAGAGCAATCTTTTAGCACAAGCAGATGATGTTGTAATTTGGCTTGAAATCGACTTATTCCCTAGTATGGTGCAGTTCTCAAAAGTTGTAGAAATGGACAGCACAGTGCACAGCAGAATGCAGCAATGTACAGCAGAATGTAAAAATGGACAGCAGTATTTAGAAATGCACAGCAGAACTGCATAGTAAACTGTAGAACTGCACAGCAAAATACAGAAATACACAGCAAACTACAGAAATGCACTGCAAAATGCAGACATGTACAGCAGAATGTAGACATGGACAGCAGAATGCAGAAATGGTGGACAGAATGTAGAAATGCACAGCAAAATACAGAAATGCACAGCAAACTGAGAAATGGCTTTGAAGTGATGGCCACAGTAGACATTTCAGCACCAAGGAAAGAGATGATGTTTTTGCACCGAAAGCAAAAACAATGCAAATGCACAGGGAAAATGTATCAGCAAAATGTATCTGCTTGCTACCAATGGTCCTAGACCTAGACCTAGACATCTGCCAACGCTAAAAGCTAGAAAGAGAATTTGAGATACAGAAATGAGAATTATACTCAAAGAAGTAACAAGAAAGGTAACATTTGCAAAGCAAATGCATAATGTTTACCTTCGCATATGGTCTGCTCTGTTAATTCTTACCTCAAACACATTCACATATATGGTGACAGGAGTCTAAATCCTGCTATAAAATTCCAACACTAGTTACCATGGTAACAGACGTCTGGTCATTGACCAGGTCAGTGTTTGGAACGGAAGAATAAACAGAGCGAAACAAAATGTGTTCCTTACACAATATTTATGTTTAACGAAGGAAATTTTTTTTTCAAACATATTATTGTTTTTGCTCTGTTTCTTCTTCCGTTCCAAACACTGGCCTGGTCAATGACCTGAACCAGGCATCTGTTACCATGGTAACAGGTGACATAATTACCTGACAACTCTCGATGACCAGTTCCAGTGGAGTGAAGAGGAAGTGCACCAGTTCGGGAGCGTTGGGGTCGTGGATGTGAGGCCGCAGCTTGGCCAGCAGGTTGAAGGCATACTTGAACTTCTGGAAACAGTCGATGTAGTCAGTCTCCGGGGGAGGGCGTGCACGCACCGTCAGCAGACCTTCACCTGAAACAGTAAATAACATTTGCACTTTAGCACTGCAAACGGATAAGATGTAGACTTGAATATACTGTGTCTGTAATTTTAACTTAAAGTAAGCATTGAATCAACTGTTTTTATAATGCATTGTTGTACTTTTAACGTGTTGTAATTTTTAATGTTAACTTGATATGCAACAAATAGGTTTTTATCAATATGTAACGAACTTTTATCAAATAGCTGTATTATAAGCGCATTTTGTGTTTTAAAGCCTTCTCAATTCAGCCAAATATGGCTGCTTACAGGCTTTTGTATGTACAAATAAACCAGTCTCTCTCTCTCTCTCACTGTGTCTATTACACTACTTACAGCTTAGAGCTAAAGCAATATATACAATGTAGTTTGGACAACAAAGGAATAGGCTATTACATTCAATTTGGTATTAAACAAAGCTAACTTGACATATAAAAAAAAGTACATTATAGATAACTTTGTACCTTTTTGACATACAAGTTATGTATGATTTTGATTTTTTTTTCAAAAACAACTGAAAAAATTATGCCTACTTTTTGTAACATTTAAATCATGCTGATATTCCAAAATAAATATATTCCAACTGAACTTATATCAGGTATAATTATGTATGTATGCAGAAGTAATGGAGCAATACCATGGCTACCAACATGAAACAATTAGGAAAGTAAGCAATAGAGAATTGTCAGCCAAAGGTAATAAAGGTTACATGTAAGACACATGTCCAAACCTTGTTGCTTCCTCTTGCTTTTCTTGTTCTTCTTCCTCTTAGACAGCTCATTAAAGGCATCGGCAGCCTTCTGCAGCCTGGAGACAAAGTTCTCGATGTCGTCAAAGATGTGGTTGAGGATCTGGACATCTCGGTCCGTCTTAAGAGCCTGGAGCTCCGGCGAGTCTTCTTCCTCCCTCATTAAGGGCCTGGAGGAAGAGTTAAGATTAAGAAAGTCATGAAGACATGGAATACAAAGTTCTTTTTCTCAATGTCTATAAGGGAGAACTACAGAAACTGCATTTACTTGAACCTAGTGTAACTAAGTTGCAAATCAGACCACAAGACTGATTTTTAGGAAATAGAGCAGACCTCTAGAGGATTGGACTAGTTTTACTGTTCCCAAGCTGAAGCCTTTTAAATAATTCTACAAATTATAAACAGCATGTCTTTTACATTGTTGGGCTGTACTATGGAATACCTTATCATTTAGATGCCTACAACAGAGTCAATAATACTTTTGTTACAAAAAAAGATGCTAACATGAAAATGTTCAATTAAGCCATAGAAATCAAAAGTTGCTGGATTGTCCTCCATGTTATAGTTTTATACAATTAATTTTCGGCAACATTTAAAGCATAGAATGCTATTAACCGTTGACATTCTGAATTTACCATGTAACATCTACTAACTCGTGGCTATTACCAAATACAGAAGCGAAGCCAAGCAAAACTCTATGTATGCCATGAAGCCACCGTTGAGTTATGCTACGAGCTTTGGAGGTACCAAATTCTACCACGCCTTCCAGAATGTCACAAGGCTGGCTTTGCTTGTAGACTTTTTCAGTCGGCCTGTTTTTGCTTGGCTTGACTCACATACAGTGGTGAAATTTCACATAACGTCTCACAGTCACTCCAAACTTCACATATTGGGACTTGCCCTTTACGTGACCGTGACTTGGCAAACACTTCAAGCTGAATAGATTGTTTTCTTTAGCGATAGCTTAAATAGCAGTTATGAACTCTGTACGACCTGCGAAATTCTTGCCTGTCAACAAATTCCTTTGAACAAAGGTCGCTTTCAATTTATATCCTGAAATAAAAGTGCTCAAACAAATAAAAATCTGATACTTTCAGTCAAGTACGAATGCAATAAAACTTAGGAGGGCAAAAGAGTACTAAACTGAATCAGATATTTCCTGTAATTTTGTAACATAATCCTAGTTTTCTGTGTTTAGTTAATAATTACCAATTAAAGTGCAGCAAAATCTTCGTTAAAAATTAACTAGGGGCAGTCCACAGCTGACTTTCACTATGGCAAAAGCAGTCCTTTTTATCTCATTGCATGCTGGGAAAAATGGGGAACTATGGGTAAACAATATTCATAACAGGTACAGGTATCAGTCCAAGTACAGTACCAGTACTCATGCTTTGCATACTATATCATGCAAATTGTCATGGTAATATAATGTTGTTTTCCTCAGCATTACCCATAGTTCTTTGCCTTTCCCAGCATGCAATGGGACCTGTGAAAATGTTCATGGTTGGTAGCAGTGCAAGATCATTCCAATACAGTATGTCCTTCAACCAATTAAGGAAATTTGCATCCCAGTGCAGTGCATTTGATTCATGAATTAATTCTTCATTTAAGAGTCTTCCTTAAATGGTGGACAGCAAGGAGTTGGTAGCAGCTCATCCAAAAGCTTTAAGATGTTGCCAGCCTGAGTTTTAAGACACAACAACTTACTTGGGACTCAAGGTTACATTTGGGTAAGTCTTTGGTCGGTGACTGGACGTGTCCATGCAAAAATAAAAGTCAAATTACGGAAAAGAACACAAAGAAACAAAAATGAAAGTAAAACTTATTAACAAGCCTTAACGTTATAATGTTTGCGCAGGCAAATACCTAGCACACATGCATGAAAGCACACAGTGTAGGCCACACCAATTTTATTTGTTGGTTCATGGACCTAAAAAAAATAACAAATTGAATGTGAAACCATTTAATTTAGATCAACACAAAAATAGGTTAAGGGAAAGCTAAGCCTTGGTACACAAAGTCTTCTATTGAAGTTTTTCATCCAGTCTTCTGTTTTTCCAAAGTCCTTTCATAATAAATTATTTCAAAATACCAAGAAAAGAAACTGGTGTGCCATACAGTGGCATCTACATGACTGTGTATCTACATGTACATGTATGCACTAGAGGCAACTTTTCTACAGTGATAAGCAAACTATTGAGCTATATGTATGACAACTATCAGGCAAACTGTTCTACAGTGATATGCAAACTACTGATCTATTACATGTATCAGGGCTAATGAGATACTATATTTGCTTCAAATGTCCTTCCACCTTTAAATACCATCTACTGCACATTCCCCTGAGCACTCAGCAGTGTCTGAACTAGTAATATTAATGCTTTTTTCAGTCCAGCTGTGATTTCACCCAACCAATATACAGACAATGGTTATCAGATCTCACAATTTCTGCCTACTCCTAGACATATGAATGTCTTCTTCTCTAAATCTGGAATAAAGATGGGTTAGACATCATGAAATACTGAAGGCGATTGCCCAAACCACACTTACTCTGAAGCCCTCTACATTCTATACAATGAGTATACCTGTTTGGGATTTAAGTACACAATATGTATACATACTATCTAGTATTCCTAATGATACATGTACATAACATGTATCTTGGACCCACTATCATTCAAGAAAATTAGATCATAATACTTGTAGATACAGAATGTTTTTTACTTTATAAAAGATTTCTTATATATAATATAGTACTATTAGTAACTACACCATGCTGTGTTACTTTTTCAGAGAATAAAAAAGACAAGACTGTACCTTGGTGACCTAGCGGGAGGGCTTTTTGGCGGGGAGGAGTAGCCATTCTGCTGTTGTGCAGCGGCAGACTCGAACGCCTCCGCCTGTCGCTTCACGTTCCCCGCGGGGGGCTGCGGCGCGGGAACCACCGGCGGCGGAGGGATACGGGAACTACTTCCCGCGCTGGGCGAATCCTGCCTGGCGTGCGGCGGCGGATTGAAGTCATCGCGCGATGACGGGGGCCGGTAACGCTTTTTACCGCTTTTGAAGTCGTCGATGGCTGCCTTGATGTCCTTGCATATTACATCTGCAGGTATTCGGTCCGTCTGTGGGGGAAGTAATCATTAAAACAAGCACGAGTGAAGAACTACAGTCATGCCAAAAACTTCCTGTTTTTTCCAGCAGATACCAGAAGACTTGGCATGCTGGTGGAAAGCCAAATGCATGCTGTCTTGCAAAACTGCTTATCTGAAGGAAGTTCAGCTGAAACAGGAATACCCTAGGCAATATAACAGCTGGTTTATCTCATTTGGTTATATCAGATTCTGTTCATGGAGCTTGTTCTGTCTCTCATTAAAGACTGATGCATACAAAAGCTTTCTAGCTACAGCATACAATTTCATGTCGCTTTAGTGCAATGCTTTCAACAGTAACTACACTGGGAGGTTTTCTACTCTAGTATATGAGCTCAGCTATCACCATGGTACTGGAGGCTGGGATGTCTGGTTTCTATAGTGACAGAGAACTTAAGGCTTCTATTGGATAGAGATTCATTGTGATAAAGGTTCCTGAGCTCCTATTGGTGCTTTCATCTTTTTAAATCAGTATCCTGATTTAAACGGTCACAAGCTTTCGGGGCAGGGGCCCAATCAGCCCAAGAGCAAGATACTTGTAACACAGGCTAGGTCAAGGGACTGTTCATTATACTGCATCTTAAGGGATCGTTCACAAATACTACACCACGTACCTGAAACATGTGCATATCTGGGAACTTCTGGTTTGGGTCCTTCACAGCGAGAACCAGGATGCTGTTGTAGTTCCCCTCATTCATAACAGCCTTGTTTATAGTGATGCTGTATGTGGAAACACAATATATAAGATGTTGTTAGACAAAACTCAAATGTAACAATCACGAAAACATTCTACCTCTCCCTTCTTGTAAGGCCATGTTGATTTGATTATATGGATGACATCCACGCGCGCCTGAATTTTTGGTCGTTTCCAAAAAATAAAAGAAGTTTTCAACCATACTGTAAATCGTACAAAACAGTTGCAAAATGAGCAAATATATACTGTAAGTTGATAAAAAAACATTGGAAAACGATACCAATGTTGTAGAATATCCAAATCAAACGAAAAAGACGAAAATGTAAAGAAATAAATTTGAAGAGTAGATCATTCGCCAACCATATTCTGTGTCATTTGTTCAACCTCCGTGACTACGGAGATTTTTTTTTGCAAAACTTTTTTTTATTCGCACGCTCGCATCAGTTTTGGGGTTACAGGAGGATGTCATCCATATAATCAAATCAACATGGCCTAACTTAATTATACAGAAAAAAAAAGACAAGCACTAAAGACTCACGCGCTGAGCGGAAAGTTCTCCAACTCCTCGTGTGTCTCGTTGTCGATGAGCAGGACAGCGCGCTCGTCCACCGTCATGGTCATCTCCTGTGTCCAGATCTTCCCCTTCGCGTCCATCAGCTTCAGCTTCCTCACACCGTCCTCGATGGTCAGCATGGCGTTTTTGGGGTCCATGGCATATGTGGCCAGGTGCTATATGAGAGACAAGGAAAAAAGGATTTCTATGAATTTGAATGTGCATCTTATGCCATATACTGTGCCAGAAACGCACAGGCGTGGGAACGTATTTCAGGGCTGTTTTCTTGTAGAAAATAATGTAACAGGCCAGGTTTTTAATATCTTTATAACATTTTTTTTTTTAGATTTTAGGCTTTACCCAAGCAATCTTTCATCTCGAATATACATTGTAATAAAGATGATTTTAAACCCCTACAATGCTACATTCTAGCAAATGATAGTTGAAATCAATGATTTAAAGTTTCCTTTCAATTGGCATTTTTGGGGTCCGTGGCATATGTGGCCAGGTGCTGTACCACAGCCAAGGAAAAAAGGATTCTATAAATCATACACGTCTCTATTCTACTCTTAACTACATGTAGTAAACGGTGGATAAAATCAACCCTTTATGGTTACCTAGCACCAACAGTGTTCCAAATGTCTATATTTGCTCTTAGTTAAAAAGAAAATCTGATAAGAATTCTATAAGCATCTGTCATTTTTCATTATTTTCTAGGATCCATAGCCAAGTAGCCCAGTAATCCATGAAACAGTAACTGCAGGATTCGGTTTTAAGTTGATCAAACAGCATAAAAAAACGTAACATTTTTGAAGATTTGCTTGATTTAGAAAATACATTACTTTAAATCTATAATTTCCTACCAAATGCAGTTGCATTTATAAATCTACACTTCTCTTGTTATAAGATGAAGAACAATTTTTCTTTTGACTTTCCATGAACCTAAACTGCAAGGTGTTAATGGATAGATGAAACAAACCCGGAAAATCAAACTACAACTATGGATAACAAACTGCTGTCATTATACAATGTCTGGGACTAGACTAGTTTGTTAGTTAAGTAAGTGCCCACCGTTTTGTGAAAGAAACAAATTGAACAGCAAAACAAGGGGATGTTTTTCATGCAAATTAATTTTCATGCAAATTAATTTTCCAGAAGAATCATAACAAAGCTAAGAAGCAGTAACTACATGCTACAATGTACAAAGATTTTACAGACAATGAAACTACTGAGAACTGACTACAGAGGCGAAAAAAAGTCATTCACACAATGAAATGCTATGAAGTAGTGACACTATATGGTATAAGAAGGGTACAACAAAACTATGACAATGAAAACACAAAATATATCATTCTGATTTTTTAACAAAGATTGTAACAGATGTGACATAATTAAGGTAACGTAAGAAAAAGAAAAGTGGAAGTGGGCACGTACCTCGATGGGGTATCCACCTACCTCCACGGGAAAGCTCCTGGCTTCTTCCCCGACATCGCGAGCTTGCGCGTATTTCTTACGCTGCTCTGTAAGGGCGAAGATATAACAAGCTTTAGTTGATGCTAGTGCATAATTATACTAAAGGTTTTCTATTATAGCATTGGTATCAACAGAATAGGATATGAAAATTGTTCTCAAACAGTGAATGAATAGTGAGATATCCAGGAAGGTCTTGGTGGAAAAAAAATGTAGTGGGACCAAATTCATAATTTTCCTGAAGGCTTGACAAAGTGTGCAGCTTCAGCTTTTCAAAAGTGAAGTTTAAATATCTTCTAATAAAACCAGTACATGTTTGGTCAATAGGGACATGACATTGTATAGGTTTGCAGACCCTAAATTTTATTCTGTCAAGGCTGAATTGCCAATCCTTTCTGTGACTTATACAGCTCTGAGTGTCAAAATTGAAGAAAAAAATCATCATTGCACAACTGAAACTCGTGCCTCAATGCAATACATTCAAATAAAATATAACTATAAATTGCAATACAGTCAAGCAAACATACAAAATATCATAACATCAGGCAAGACCAACTTGAAGACACAAGGCTGAAAGAAAAAAATGAATGAACATGGAGCCCATGGAAAGAAAAAGGGTATATGTTCATGCACGTTGCATGCAAGATCTTCACAGTGCAGCACCTGTTAGTTCTGGAGACATACCTTCTTCGTCTGCACATAGCAGGGTACAGGGTACAAATGTAGCGGGGGAAATGTTTCAACAATTAGGGTAGGGTTGGACATGGGAAAGGGTTGACTACATACTAGATTATACAGTATACCATCAATGGCTATGGAGAACACAGGGTAACATCACAACAACAAAACAAACATTAATTTTCATGCAAGCATGTTTCATGAAGCAGGGATCCATTATGATTATGACTGGCATAATTTCTGTAAATGAAATGTTGTTAGTACTGTAAGAAACAGAGGCAAGCAGTACCCCTGGTCCCGGTTCGGGGTTCGAACCCACGACCTCCCGAGCACCAGCTTCAAAATCTGACGCTCAATTTACCACTTGATTAAAAGGTCTAGACCCATCGGCCGGGTCAGTTGGTAGCGCCTATATATATATAAACCCCCACTGTTACAGTACAAGATTTATAAGTAACATAACACATACAATTGCTTGCAGTTTTAGTCATTAAAAACAACAACAGATTTTGTTTGTAACCCAAAAATTAATATGTGGATAATAGTAATTATATCTGATTCTAAAAATTAACACTCAGTATTGCATCTTCAATGTTTCAAAATGAATTCCAGTTCTTAGCTATAGCTCACTGTGCATTGGAATATGGCAGCCAGTCTCCCCAGTTTGTCTATGCCTTAATATAGACTTTAAACATTAAGAGGGCAGTCCTAAAGTTCAGCTGCTGCCAAAATGGATGTCTAGTAAACACTGTTAAATGTCAACACCCACATATCTGGGGGTTGTCTCAAAACTCATCCTATTCTTTCCAAAAGGGATTAGTTTAATGTCACTGTAGCTTTAAAAATGACTTTGTTTTGGAAACAAATTTAACATTGTAAAACTGATTTGGTACAGAAAAAATATAAATTTTTCTCACTTTTTAGCTGACCTGCTACATGTATATGATCGTAACTGAATAATTATGATTTTTTCCAGAAAGCAATAATTTTCTTGCATATTGTGGAAGCCTATTTTATATTCTATAAAACGATATTACATAAAAGTACAAAATTAGGCATATCTACATTTTGTAGATTATATTTTAAACAGCTGTTGCGATAAAACCGTATGCTACCATATCTCCATGCAATACCCAACATCCTACATCCATAACAAAAACTAAATGTGTTAACATATACAATACCACCATCAAATTTAAAGCATGTGGATATGGTATATGGTTATACTAAGTCTGCAATCTTAGATAATGAGGAAATTAACTGACCGTGTTGATTGTCTACTGACATCGTTAACACAACAGGTGTAAGGTACAATTCACCTCAGCAAGGTGGAAAATGTTGTCTGCCTTAAGAAGAACTAGTTGTACCTATTCTAGTGGTAGGACAACTTTTCCCTTCAGGAATTTTTGCCTTGGGGTGAAATACATGTAACTTGATAGTGCTTCCATCCTACACACACACACACACGTTTCAAGAATAAAATAAATAAAATCTCTACTTTAGATGTAGAGTACTTAATTGTTAGTTTAAAAAAAATGTCAGACAGTAAAGTTTTGCTTTCAAGGGGGTGAACATGACTACAATAGCTTAAAGGCTCATTAGGCCCAGGAAAAAAAATGCTGTGTTTCCTGTTTCCAGACCAACCCCTAGAAAAACTGAAACCTTAGCCTTTTTACCTAATTTTTTTGAGCTGTTTGACTTTTTCTAGCTCCATGATCTGACACCTGAGTGTTGAAAAGTTGTATAATCTGTTTTCCAACATTGACATTGAAAAGATAAGTCATGAAAGTCTAAAAAAAAGATAATCCTTACTAACAGACCATACCTTTTCAGGACTGAAACAGGAAACACAACATTTTTTCCTAGGCCTAAAACTTAAAATCATGTAGTAGTAAATCTACATATTCCAAAGTATATAAAATACCAGGACTTGTGTTCTTACCATATATTTCCTTGGCACTTGGTCGGCTGGCTCCGTTGAAGCCATTTTGGTAACCGTTTTGTCCGGAGGGAGCGTAACCACTGTGGGGAAAAAGAAGAGGGTTGGTAAGAAAGTCTTAAACATAAACTTCACATTCTTAACCATGATTAATATGTCACAAAAATTTTGGTTTTGATACATGTATTAAAAATAAAAACAGAGACATCATTCTTGATATTACTGTATGTCATACACAATGTGTAATACATGATGGACAACTGAAAATTGAAAATGAATGTTCACTGTTTGATCTACGATCTCTTGTACGATCTCTTATATCATTTGAATCATTAATATCATCATTATAATAAAAATGAAAAGTGAACCATTCATTTTGTATATGGTAAGAGCTTTCTCTTCGTGCTGCACGGGAATTTTTAAAATTAATATACCCATTATCATGTTAAAGTTTAAATTTTCATCAATACACGTACTACTATATACAATTGTATAAAAGCTGAGATCTACATGCATGTACGAGTCTATACAATGCCATATAACTACAGTTGAGCTTTAAAAACACACTGGTAAAAAGGATTAAATGAGCTCTAATTCTATAAGTGTTACAGACACTGGGCTCATCAAAGGTCAAACATGACAAAGTGAAGGTCATTCCAACAAACATGGTGGACTCGTGCTCCATTATAGAACATGCCTGACAAACCAACTGCACATGCAAGAAACATTGTGCACGACAATCACATAACATTCAAGTGGACTTGAAAAGAGGCATTAACTTCATAGTGTACATGTACATCTATCTATAGTACGTTGATATTACACAATGGTTACACAATTTATGTCATAATGATATTAGGCTATTGAAGGTACGATGATTGCATGACATAAATTAATCATAAAGTATAACTTATGCTGTGATAATGATAGTCATCGCAGACTGTATTGAAATTATACTTGACAATTTGCACATTTTATAAAGACACGCAAATTCATTTTGACACTCTTTGGAGAACCAATATTTGATGGTAGAGTGCCTCCAAGTGCAACTCCACAAGTAAATCCTAACCAATTGTCATAAAGAATATTTTATGATATGCATGCATTTGACATGTTCTCTAATTTTCAGTAACTGTTATTTTGTACAGGCTCCTAGCAGGTTACAAATTTACAGAATTCAACATGACTTTATAAAAAAAATGGCTGGCTCGAGCCAACTGGAAATGAAAAACTTGTGTTCAGTTTTGTCTATGCAATGTCTTTTCCAACATTACCAGTTGGGCAGACATTTAGCTTAGCAGGTGGCCAACGCAATTAGCACAAATCAATAAAACTTTCCAAGGGACTTTCTCGCATGCAGTGTTGAGTTTCCAACACAGTTTGAACAACTTATATATCACGTGCATGCACGTTTTTTCGATACATCGTCTTTTGCAAATCGACAGACGTTTTGGCTCCTTTTGCAGTCACCTTTAAAATGGGGTGTGGTAAAAGCTGAAATGTCTATCGATTGAGTAATATTAATAAGCTTAAAAAGCTAATCTAATGTTAATGACGAGACAGACATCGGGTAAAAGGCTAGGGGTGTCAGCACATTTTAAATACCACCCAAAGGACTACTAGTCTAGGATACAAAAGATTTGCATTCAAAGTTTTATGCTTTTTAAGTTTCGTTTTAATCCATAAAGAAAAAACTGTGTACTGTGGTTCATAATTGTTTTTGAAAGTGCAAGTTTTATCCTTTTTTCAGTTTCCTTTTAATCTTGAAAAAAATGTGTACTGTGGTTCATAATTGTATTTGAAAGTGCAAGTTTTATGCTTTTTTCAGTTGTTTTTACAGTAAAATGTGTACTGTGGTGATATTGTAAGGGGTGCTTTTTCCTAGTGGTGTTATATTATATTAGTGGTGACTAGGAAGTTCCAACGCACCTTGAGTCTGACATATCTCAACATGTACGCCTGTATGAGCATTGTCAATGGCTGGTCCAAAAGCTGCAGGGGGTAAGACAGGACAGGGGGGTGTCAGGACAGGGGGGTGCCAAAGGAAAGCGGGTGCCAGAGGAAAGGGGGGGTTGCACAGGAAGGGGACAGACATATGACAGACAAAAGTAATGAAGAAAACAGACAATAAAGTAGAAGTTAATGTAAATATTAAGTTGGAAGGTATGATATCACAGGTTTGTTTGGGAAGAAAGCGAATGAAAGCAAAAGAAAGAAAAAGCAGCAAGGGAGGGGATGTAAAAAAGGAGGTTATCTTAAAAGCAAGAAACACACATTAGCACTGACATATAAGAGTTCTATTATAATTATGATATGTACTGGTTGAACCTGAATAACCTTATAAAATCCTTAGGGTAGTTCAGATTAACTATATGTAGTACTTTAATTTGAGTCTATGATAATTTTACTATCATACTGTGTTAACTTTTAACAAGATTACAGACAGGAGAATATTTCTGACTCAAAAAAAATTCTACTGACAGCAACATTTCTTTGAAATGGCTTGACTTAATGTGTTTGAGACCCTTTGCTGCATTTTTATGTGCAGTTTTGGTGCTTTACTCCGAAACGGAGACATCCTTTTTCGATCAATACCGGAGCTTTCTACAAATGGGCTGAACATGTTTCCATTTCACGCATCAGGTGACAGCGATCATTTGACACCCACAAAACGGTGATAGCCGTGATCAATTCTTGGCTGTAGTACAACCATAAGAAGAAGAGTTAAGAACGTCGGAGCAACTTGCTTGTCAAGATGACAATGAAAAATAAGAATTAGCAATTCTTGTACTTTCCATGAAAGCTGTATTCAATAATTTTCTAAAAAAAACCTTTTTGTTTTCTTTAAAGATATGAATAGGCCTGACTTACATTTGCTTTCAAATTTGGTTGTTATATTTCACTCCATAAGTATGGAAGGGAAACATATTTGTTTCTACATCTTATTTGCTTGCATTAAGCAGGTATGCTATAAATCATGCTAAAGGAAGTTATCCCATTAAGAATTTGTGGGGCTTGATGCATTTTTAAAAATTATTTTCTTATCAATCAAGAAAAACAAGCAAATTATGCATTTTGTAGCTATAGCCTTTGCAGCTATCCTTTTAAACATTATCATTTCCTAACTAATATAATCACAAAACACTGATAAACAAGTATGCTACAATATTTTTCATATCCTAAAAGCAACTTCCTATAATGGAAATTATTAAATCCACAAGACAACTCAAGACAAAGTGCAAGACTGTCACATTAGAGAAATGACCACACACAAGCAGACATGCTTTTAGCTTTAGTAATGTGTTTGAAAACACATTTTGACAACCCTCGGAGGGAAAGACTGACAGGTATTAGTCATCAAGGTTGGTATTTTGAGCCCCAAACAGGCAAGTTCAGTCATCCCACATTCAGGCCACATCTAGTTAATTTCTTGGTTCCCTGTTTCAAAAGATCAGAATGTAGATTTGGAAGACCAACATGAAAAACTACATTTTATGAGAGGAAAGTCTGTACCAGGAGACAGTCCTATGTTTCAACATCCCTATGTTCCTTTATAGGCTTAGGATTGTCAGAGTATACTATGGTAGCACGTCGGCAGAACGTACTGCACCCGCGCGAAACCCGTAATGTATTGTACATAGCACTTTGGCAGAATGTCTCATATAAGGTGACCGTCGTATTCGCGCATATAAGGAAAACATCTCGTCTTTCCAAATGTAATATGTTGGAAAAGATATCCTCTGCAACGGACAAAATTCCAATGCAACGTTGACCAAAAATCTACCGAAAAACGTGAAAATACAGGGTTCTGCGCAGGCGCAGTGCGTTCTGCCGACGTGCTTACTATGGTTGAGTCGCCCATAGGGATATTGGAGACTGTACCTTATTATTAGATTCAGGGAGTATACATTCAGCTTGAAGTGTTTCTCCCAGTTCTAGCTAGCCTTCTGTTTTTATCTTTTTTTTCCTTTAGTTTTCCTTGATTTTGACCTTGAAAATTGCGACAGGAAACCAAGAAAATAAACTGTATGTTGTGGCCTTTTAAAAGCTACTCAGACGACAAGACATTGTGTCCTGTCTACCTGATGATCTCAGGCAGTTCGGGAGACTCGGGCCTTTTGTTGCAAGTCAGACAGCTCATCCTGTCGGTCGTGTTCGTGCATGCGAGCCGATGCGCTCATGCACGCAGACGTGCGTACGCGGAGACGTGCGTACACGGACGGAAGCTACCTGCGTCTGGGTTTGTCGGAGAAGGAGGAAGGGCGACCACGGGTAGAGGGAGAGGAACAGAAACAGGAGCAGCGCAAACTGAAACAGTTCATCTGCAGAAAAGAGGCCATTTCAGAATCAAAGGAGGCAAAATAATAGGAAACAACAATAGCTATTCCATTAAAAAATCACACCATGGTTTGATAATTGGAAATTCAAACTTGTTTTGAAATGCAAATTGAAGGAAGCCTTTTAAAATCGGAATGACAATGAAAGGGGGAACAACAGCTCAGACAAGGAGCAAAATAAAATTTGTTGAACTTGAAGCAAGGAGAATTAAAACTCCTTGGTAGAAACTAGCTATAGGATTCTAGTACTAGTAGTAGAAAAAAAAATCAACGAGCTAAATTGTAGTAATTGAAATAAAAGAGAAAGCATTTGGTCTGTTTCTCCCCCTTTTCATATTGTCTTGGTCTTTGATTGTTTTATTTTACCTGCACCCTAAAAAAATAAGGAACCCCAAAAAGAACATGATATTTTTAAAGAAAATGTTTTCTTGGTATCCACTATTTGTAATGGAATAGCATAAAAAACAATTGAAGGGAATAAGAAGAAATACTCAAAATCAAATCAGTTACAAGAAATTCAATAAGACATAATATTGCGTATGAAATAAAATGTCAGAGCAAGGAGGTTTATTCGAGGTTAAACCTTCTTGATTGTAGACAAATAGAGCATAGAGACATCAGGAAATGGTTTCATCAATTCCATGACAGGGGCAGATGTTTCCCTATCATTGATTTGTTTCAGCTTACAAGAAAATGTGTTATCATCAAGAAATCGATAACACATATAGCAGAGGCTTTATCGGCTA